ACAGTAACGGTTTAGTTTGGTATAGCTGCATGCCAACCTCAGTGCGCCGCTTCAACTTTGTGAACATGTCATGGGGATACAGCGCCATCTTTTTACCCTTCTTGAAATTCTCAGCACCCACCAGGTCTCGAAATGCCTTTTCAAGCTCCTGGGTGCGCCGTCGTTCCTGTGCTTTCTGCACATTGTCAGTCATGTAATGGTCATATGTAATGGGATGCCCGTTGAGATGGGGCTCAAGTAGAGTTTCAAATTTGGCGTCAAGGTCACGAATAGAGTTGGTTCTTGCATTGCGCAGGATAGAGAGGATACCGGGGACGGTGTCCTCGGCGGCCACATGCGTGACGATCGCATTTGTCACCTCGTCTGTGGCATGAAGGACTTGTTCCCTGACTTTGTCCACGAGCCCTTGCCAAGGCTTATACTGCTCCTTGAAGAGTTCGCTGATGATCATGGGGTTAGATGTGCCCGACAACTCGCGACCATGACTCTTTTTCATTAGGTTTTTGACTTCTTCGATATAATCGGATCGCAAAATGTAGCGACTGCATACTCCAATCTCTTCGTCTTCAGGCATCTCGTCTAGAAGAACGCGATTTTGACCATGTCTTCAGCAAAATTCTCAAGAATGTATTGGACACGCGCCCTGAGGCGCCTTCTCGACCCTTGGTCGGTTTTCGCGCTGCCGAAAAATGACTATATTTGCCATCGACCGTAGCTTGCATCAGCAGGGTGTATTCTCGGCTGACCTGAAACAAGTACCGTCGTTGGCCGTCCACTGTCGCTCGAGGTGTCCCAAGCCGCTGGAGTTGGGCGTCGCAATCCACAATTTGCCAGCCGGAATCTTTCTGCCCTCCTCTAGTCGACAATATTACCAGACGGGGGATGTCTTGTGGCGGGAGGCGCTCGCATTGGAAGATGAGGAAGCTGCCAAAGAAGAAGTGGCCCAGTTAAGGTCAGAATCACCCGGGTGGCTACCGCAGAGCCAGAAGCAATACCCGAGAGATCGCCAATGGAAGACATGATTTCTATTGTAGGTTTGACAGTAAATGCTGGCTGTAAAATTACACATGTTCGACTCCATCACTGGTGCCGGGGCCCAAACATATGCTAATGAAAAAAAAGCTTATTCATACCATTGCATGGACAGATGTATTGAAATCCAACTGTGTAGTGGAATTGCTGCACAGAAGATCTCTCGCACTTTTTCTCTCGGCCAATTGAAGTCCGCTGGGCAGTCTTTAGCCCACGAAGAGACGTTAATGAGCAAGTTCCTACGCAGTTTGAGTCAATCAACCCACCGTATTTCTATGGATAAGAACTGCCCTGCTACAGGGGACCTTGGTGGCAATACCGGCCACAGGCCTAGCCTAATTTGTTCGCCGCCCACTTCACAAACCTCTGTTCCACATCATGATTGTGTCGTTACTGCAGCAGCAAATAGCCACAATGGCGAAAAAAAAATTTGATTTGATTTGACTATTACGTCCGTTTGCGCCCTAGTGTAGGCTTTTGGACGTGCTATCGAGCCTTCTACGGATCAATGTACAGTCGTACCCTCTAAGTGGGCCCCAACTAGGCGCGTCGCGCCCATGTTCTCACTAGTTGCCCCTGGAATACTCTGCCTGTCATCATCCTCCAACTGAAGCAGTTTCGCGCCTAATGGCATATA